GTAACAATGAATCGTTGGTCGGTTGAACAACGCGGCTTTGCTGTTAAAGCATATTTTCAAAATTACAAGAGTTTTATTCAAACACGTCGTGTTTTTTGACGTCATTTCAAAATATCGTGCAACCAGCCTCTTCCGTCAGATAATGCAGTTCGAAAATTGGTAAATAACCTCAAGCAAACTGGATCGACAACTAAAAATAGAGATGGGAGTACAAGAACAGTTCGAACCCCTGAAAATATTGAACTTTAAGTTCCGGCAACAAGAATGCATACATAACAATGGAGGTCATTTGGCAAACATAGTACATAAAAAATAGTATTTTTTGTATTGAATATCAAATTGTAACTTTAATACTTTATATTTATATTTATTAAAATAAATGCATTCTTTAAATAATAATTAAATATCTAAATCATTCCGTTTCACTGCTGGACCCTGTATTTCAATAATATGCCTTTCTTCAGTAGATACACAGATCTAACTCATGATTTTTGTTTTTGTTTTGTTCCATTATGTTTTTGATTCTTTTTGTTAATTGTTAATTTATCATACTCTATGATAAATCATAAAGTTTTTCATAATTTTTCAATTTATATCATCTTACATCTAGTATCTATTTCAACTGTTTATTGCATGCACAATTAACTTGCATAATATAATCTATAGTCTACAAACTCATAAAATAGTGATCAAAAAAAATTATCAATGAATACATATCATAGTTTAATTGTACTATTATACTGATTATTATGAAGTTAAATGTAATTATGCATGATTTACTATGCATATATAATGTATATTATATTATTTTATAAATTAAATCTAACTATAAGGTAAAATATGTTTTTCTCGATATTATAAATAAATATCATGAAAAAAAAAGGTCAATCCTGTAATATTTTCATATGCTATACAGCGTGTGGTCATTATTTAGATACCACTAAATATGTTACCAGCTATTGGACGATTTTTTTGCTCCATTTTGGTGTCACTTTCAAAATTGAAAGAAATTGAAAGAAACCTACGCCATGGGCGTCCCCAGACATTTTTCTAGAGGGGGAGGGGGCAAAATTAATTTAAAAAATGAATATAGATTTTTTTATACATTTTATTTATAATGCATTATTCATTATTACATTAAATTATTAAAATTAAGTAACAAATTTAAAATTTTAAGGGGAAGTGCCCCATCTTGCCCCCTTCGCTTTTGGAGGCCCATGTATACAACTATAGGCGTATTCTTGGGTCTTGGAGAAAGGGGCAGATTGTGGAAAAACTAAAAATCTATTAGGTATAGTAGGTATAGAAAGAGGAATTTTTTCTCGAATTAATAACTCTTAAAACAGTCGAAAAAATTTAAATGGTATATACATTATACGCTAACATTATTGAACGATATTATAGATACTATAGTTATTTAATATTATTTTTAACTGGAATAAAAAAAATATATCACGATGCTTTGTCCATTTTTTATTTTTTATTTTTAATATTTAAATTAATTTAATTTAAACTTATAACAGGGGGCAAAAAGATACAATTGTCTGTTGCCCACTGCCCGGATTACGTTTATGTATATCACCGTCCACTATACATTAAATAATAACAATTGTTGAATTTTGCTGGGCATATAGACATATAGTAGTGTTTATATGACATATAAATATAATATATATAATAATAATCATTATTATTATACTTCATGAGTATGGGATACGGTGAAATGCGTAAAAGGAAATGCGATAACGACGTTCGTCGCTTGGATTGTTGAGGGTCGCGTTTTATGCATTACGCATTCGAGAACAAAATATGTGGTTTATACATTGCTTGTTTGTGGCAAGTTGTAAGTTATTCTGAAAAAAAAACTAAAACAAAAAAATATTTCAAAGAATTAATTTTTTTTTTATTGTGAAAACATTTAAAGTTTTCACTTAAAAATATGAATATAATGTTATTTACCCTATCAGTGAGGTTTTTTCTACTTCCACACTGCATACTCGTATTAAAAAATAATGAGTAAAAAAAAAATATTTAATAAATTATATTTTGAAATTATTATTAATTTTAGACTACAATTTTTAAAATTATCAATTAGTTAATGATTTATTTTTTTATTAGTATTGTAGTAGATTGAACATTTTTTTTCCAGAAACATAATAATATATTTATATAGCAATTTCATTATCATATTCTTTTGAATAATATTACTGACTACCATTCATTAATCAAGCTATACATAAAAAAAATGTCGTTGTTCTGTAAATCGAATGCTAATAAGTATTAAACTCATAGTAAGAATAGCTTAAATTAATTAACATATTTTTAAAATATCATTATGTAACAATAATATATATTATAGTGAAAAATTTCAATTCACAAGTAAAAATTTTTGAATTACAATAAAATAATTAAAATTTATTTTTTTTATCAATAAAATATCTAATCTTGTCAACATTCGAACTTAATATATAGATTTATGCATTAAAAGTTATGCACACCATTGTATTTCGATATTTATTAGTTGTAAAAAAAACTTGTGAGAAACACACTATATTAAGTATTTTTTTTTAAATATATTTTATCATAGAAAAAAAATTTTAAATATTTAAATTTCTATAAATTTCTAATGAAGCTTAAAAATATTTTAAAAAAATGGTCTTGGAAATTTTTTTTATAAATATTTGGTAAAAAATTTGAATTTCTATTAACAAATCACTTTTTAAATTTAAGTTTGATTCTTAAAGCATTTATATTGCTTTAAAAAGTGAAAACAGACCCACATAGTATCATAGTAAAACAAATACATTAATTACTTCACTCAAAGTCTTAATGACTCATACATTTTTAAATACTTTAAAATTCACTATACCTTAAATCACATATCTTGTTAAAAAAATTAATCAACTTGAACAGTACTGAGCAGTGAGGAAATAAAATATGTGGGTAATGCAACTGAAATTTTCTCGTCTCGCTGGAAAAAAATTTCGCACTACCACTGTGTGGCTATGTGAAGGGTGAATGTGGGAAGGGATTACCTAACTTAATAGACCGTAAATTAAGATTCTCCATGTACAAACCTGAGTACTTCGTTTGTATGGGCTATATCGGTATAGATCGTATTGGTGCAATAAATAAAAATTTAAAATTAATGTAATAAAATAGAGTAAACAAGACATGTATATTTTTGTAATCACTTCAGTAATTCAGTATATCAATTAATGATACTTTCAAAGTTATCTGTAATTCAACAGAGCACTCAAAAATTCACTGTTTATGTCCCTTCATCGTACATATGAGTTATGAAATAAACAAAATAACACTAATCTAACTTAATCTGGCGGACTTAATAATTAATATTAATAATATTATAATATTAAAATATAATAGTTCATACAGTAGTCAAATAATGTCTGTACGGTCCATAAGTATCTATAAAACTATAAATAAACTATAAAATTAATATCATGCGTCTACCATAGCATAATATTTTATAAAATACCTACACTCAATGTGCACAATAACGGTTCGCGTATGAAGCAAAAACTGACTAATAGCATTTTTGGCAAGATAATTTATATTTTTCTACAATTTGCAGTTCTCAAAACGGCATTGGTTACAGTTATCAGGGAATTTCCAACCCTCATATTTAACGCACCACAAATGTTATTATAAAATAAATGAATTTTTTTTATACATGATTAATTAATAGCGGTCTGGTAATTGATATGCGGTGTATATTATATGACGAGTTAAATATATAATATACAAAATATACTATTATTATAGTCGCAGATTCCATTTTTTGCAAACGCGTCTAAAAATATACGCTGCGGCGGCGGCGTCCAGTGACACGTGTAGATAGCAGTCAAGCGTTATTAACCAACCGGTGGTGATGCTAAGGGTGTATCGAGTTACTCTACAGAAAACGCGAGGGTAGCGTCTGTCGCTAGCGAATTTAATCGAGAATATGAGTAGTAATGGACCTATGCCAATGCAATCTGTCAACCGTATTATCGTCCGCCCGTCCGGCGAACGTGTATTGCTATCATACCACCGAACTTATTTCCCTAAAGAACCAGTTTTCTATGATTTTTTTCCATGTAACGGGGTGGAACGACTATCGCACGGCGTACTGCAACGTGCCGCGCGCGCACCACACAACCACCGGCGTTTAGCCTTAGCGTTGTTCCGTTGTAGGTGCGACGCTTTCAGCTGCTGAGCTCGTTCGTGGTACCTCGACAGCCCACAACTCCCTCGTTTGCGCTGACCCTCCGGCGATCACGTTTGGTTAATGCACGGTTAAATCTAGAATAAACTTTTTTCGCTAACTATCAGCTACCCGCTTCACCTTGTAGATACAATCTGCAGACACTAATGAATGGTGATAACACACTCTTGCGACTTCGACTACATACCGCAATAATTTACGATGTAAGCGATTCGTCTTGACGGTTTGCGAAAATTGTAATAACCATGTGATTTTCTGCCACCGCCCCACAAGGGTAACAATAGCAATTATTTTCGAAGAGCGAGCGCAAAAAGAGATCGCCGGCACTGAGCGCGCGTCCACGACACACCGACGAGTGTGCATATTATGTATGTGTTTAGAGGATCGTGACGGGTGTCATGTTCGCGGTTTAGTAGTATCGGAGGTGTGCGAGTGTCGGCGTGTGGCCACGCACCGTGTGTGTGAACGAGCGAGCGAACGCGATTGAGAGAGAGGAGCGTGTGGTGCGGAGACTACCAGTGAGTGAGAGAGAGAGCGCACGCGCCACCACCACCGTCAACACCACCGCCACCAACACCACTACTATTACTACTCATAGTACTAGTATTACTACTATTACTACTACTACTACGACTACTACTACGACTACTACTACGACTACTACTACTACTACTACTACTACTACTACTACTACTACACTACTATTACTACTATTACTACTACCACTACTACTACTACTGCCACCAGCGGCGGCGGCAACGGCAGAAGGCAGAAGCACAAGTAGTAGCGAGCGGCGACGGTAGTGTGTTTTTCGCGTGAATGTATGCGCGCGCTAGTGTTGTGTGCGCGTGAGTGTGAGAGTGTGCGAGCAGAGCAGCAGCGAACCGCCGAGAGTGTGTGTATGTGTGCGTGTGTGTGTGTATGTGTGCGTATGCGAACGGTGATATATAGATAACAGCACCGCGCGCGCGTTTTTGGGCACTACGCGCCACCTCACTGCCCGTTCACCGTGCTCGCGCACCGTTCGCTCCCACCGTTCCCAACGACCACTGTCACACGCACACATACACACACGGGCACACGCACACACGCACACATATACACACACACACACTCCTCGGCCCGTGTACATCGTCCGCCACCGCTACTGCTCGCCGCGTATAGTGGTGTCGTCGTCGCCGCCGCCGCCGCTGCCGCCGCCGCAGCCGCCGTCGTCGTCGTTGTCACCGCCGCCGCCGCTGCCGCCGCCGCCGCCGCCGTCGCCGTCGTCGTCGTCGTCGTCGTCGTCGTCGCCCCGTCGTTATTGTTTTCGTGGTGGTGCGAACGAGTAACAACAATAACAATAAAACCGGTGTCGCCTCTAAACGAGCCGTAGCCTAGTGCTGGCCTCCGCCCCGCCGTCGCCGCCGCCGCCGCAGCAGCAGCCGCAGCCGCCCTCCCGCCGGAAAGCCACAAAAATAGGCTGGCCTAATGTTATGGGGTGTTTTGGAAGCGCCGCGGCCAAGACGGACCACGACGATGCGAAAAAGGGCAAGGAGACGAACAAAAAGATAAACCAGCAGCTGCAAAAGGACAAACAGGTGTACAGGGCCACACACAGATTACTGTTGTTGGGTGAGTGAGAGGGTCTATGTTTTTTTGAAAAATTAAAATTTTTCTCCTGTCTCACATTTCACTCTCGTCAGCCGTTGTGAGAACACTACTAGTCCTGGTTTGTCACCAGCGCTTTCCATTCCCACTCATGATCCACCCTTTTTCTGATAAATGCTCGCCAAGTACTAACCCTAAAGCTCTGCCAAAACTTCCCTTGATTTTGGGCTTCATCAAATGTTGGATATATTATCTAACCACTATTGGCTATCAAGATCTGCACAGTGCAATTGTTTCTAGTGTCTTTCAAAACGTTTGCTTGTTGTGATTGATTTAATAGTCTTAAGAAATCAGCAATTTCTGTGTATTGCCTCTTTGGTCTTCTGCATGGATTTTTCTCTGTATTCTTTGTCAATTTCTCTTCAGTCTAATAATACCTTTATACTAATACAATACCAATGTAAATTATATGTATTATCACTCTTGCTTGTTGATAATCGATATTGAGTGGTGCTCTAAGTCAGTCCCTTGAAGTCTTCTTACAATTTTCAAAGTTTCTATATTTTAATTACCATAATTGTTATTGCAGTAAAATTTGTTTATGGCGCATAATTTTTATTTTAAGTTTAAACCGAGAATGTTTTGTATATTAAAAATTTTCCTGAAAGACTAGGTCATAGATATCAGTGGTTTATCTTACCTCTTGACGATTGTATTGAATAATTATTTTTGTAAAAGATAAATGATAATATGATCAATATTTTCATTTTGTATCTTTATTGTGAATATTCAATTCAAACTATAGGTATAAGTACACATTTACTTGGATTTTGAGTGTTTGATTAGCTATTCTCTTAAATCATTGGTGTCCTTGAAAGTAGTTGAAATTGAAAGATGTAATTATTGATTGTAATCTTAACTTTTCATTTTTACCAACAAGTATCAATCATCAGTAAACTTGTTTTATTTTATATTTTTCTCCTATATATTAGGATATACATGTATGTATAATTTTTTTACCTAATTACAATATTTACATGTGACAGACGACAGTATAACTATGTTAATAAACTAAACATGATAGTGTATAATATAATCGATTAAAAATATAAACTTGAAAACATGCCAAATGTTGTGTCTTGGTTAGTTTTAAATTTATATTTTTCTCATAACATCTACCAGAAAAATACACAATTTTATACACATTTATATAAAAATGTTTTAAGCGTAACATTACATTTATTTTGATGTCTTTACATTTTTTTTTTTTCATTTAACATTCTCTTAAAATGTGTGTTGGTAATATTAACAGATTATCTTGTTATACATCAATATTTGTTCAAATGAATGTACCTTTTTTTTTCTAAAGAATATATCTATCTCGATGATATACCCAAAAAAGAGTTTAGGTATGGTTAGCAATAATATAAGTTTTAATGAATTAAAGAAAGACTAATGCTCAGAATAGTTAAACAGATTGTTAAAATAAAGAGAATTCCTTTCAAAACTTTAAACACTGATTCCTAATTGACGGAAGTATTATTGTCACGTCCAACAATAATGAGAATATTTTGTTTTCAAAATATTCTATTATTTCAGTAGTATTTCACTATTCATAGTTATTGAAAAATGTAAAATATAAAATACTGAAATAATAAATTAAGATAGTTGAATGAAACAATAGTAGCTGATACTTAAACCATGTCTTAACCAAATTTACTGTCAATGAATATCCTTGGGAAATTACCACAATGAATTATATTTATATTTAGACAAATCATATTGTGTATTATAACCAATATTAAAAAAATTGGATAATATAGAAACTTACAAAAATTAATAAATGCTTGTTTTCAAATTTTCAAGTTATATTATTTTTTTTCTTGTAGGAGCTGGAGAATCTGGTAAAAGCACAATTGTTAAACAAATGCGAATATTGCACGTAAATGGATTTAGTGAAGAGTATGTATAAATAATAAAATAATATTACTTTTTGAATTTCTAATTAATGTAAATTAATTTTATAGAGAGAAAAAACAAAAAATTGAAGATATTAAAAAAAATATTAGAGATGCCATATTGGTAAGTTTATTCTTGTCATTCAATATTATATATGAACATATGCAATATATAAATTTATTTTTATAGACAATTACAGGTGCCATGAGCACACTCACCCCACCAGTACAATTAGAACACCCAGAAAATCAATTTAGAGTCGATTACATGCAAGATGTTGCTTCCCAACATAACTTTGAATATACGACGGTGAGTAATAATTCTAATAGTTTATGGTAAATTACTCTTATATTGTCATTAGTTTTTTTCTAAATACTATTTTTTCATAGGAGTTTTATGAACACACAGAAATACTGTGGAAAGATAGAGGTGTACAGTCTTGTTTTGACAGATCTAATGAATATCAACTCATTGACTGTGCAAAATAGTAAGTATTTCACTTCAATATTCTCAAATTGTAATCTTAACATTTCTGTTTATGTATATATATATATGTATATAAAACAAAACTACAGGTGTAATCAATGAAATAATTCAAAAACATAATATATCTATGTTATGAATTTACTTATCATAGTACAAAATGTAGTGTCCTCTTTTAGTTTGAAAAAGTAATGTTTAAATTTAAAATTCTCTGTTTGGTTATTTTATTTTATTGTTTTGTTTAGTTGCAAAACAATTGGTATTAATTAAATTATTTATTTTACATTTTCATTATTATTGTTATTATTATTAAGTACTATATTTGCATTTAAGAGAGTTTAATTTACTATTTTTCAAATAGAAATTTATGTTAAACATGTTTTTTTTTGTTGATTTAGGTTTATTGATTATTAGTTATTACATAATTTAAAATGTTTCATTTCTTTTATCTTAATGATATAATGACATGAGATATAAACTATATTTAAATAATAATAGGTTTGTGTTTTTTCTACAATATACTTAGGTTAGGTTAAATGTGTCTTAGAAAAATCTTTTAGTAGTATAAAATCATTCAAATATTCAAATATTTATTTTAAATAAGAAAAAGAATAAATAAGCTATCTCTGTATAATAATTAAATATATAATTTTTTTATTTCAGTTTCCTTGATCAAGTACACATTATCAAGCAAGTAAATTATACCCCTTCAGAACAAGTAATTATAATATTCTTACTTAATTTTACTTGTATGTTTTTACATTTTTTTACAAAACCTTTTTTTTTTTTTTAAATTTTTGTTTGTGATTAATTTAAAATAAATAACGTTTAACCTACTAGGTAATTTTTCTAGTTTAATATGTAACTTATTAATCTTAAATTTATTATTTAAGCTTAATAGTAATGTGTCAAAAGCAATTGCATCAAATTAATCAGTTTATATATTTAAATTTTATACTTATACTAAAAATGTTTTTAATCTTAAACTAATGCCAATACATAGCTAGTAATTGCAAGTGGTAAATTTAAAAAACATGATAATCAAAGATTATGACTTATTAACTTTTAATGTAGTTATACAAATACTGATTAATACATATATAGTTAAGGGGTAGAGAATTATATTAGCCCAACCCTTAAAAAATTAAAATGCATTTTATTTAAAACTATCCAAAAATTATGTTTTCTTTCTATGTCAAGCTGGCCCAACCCTCAAAAAAAATTATTCTCTATAGTTATTTCAGTATAATAATAATTCAAAGTAAATTAATAATAAAATAAAATAATGTTATATTAATGAAAATATAGTTTGTCACTGGTGACTACTTAATAAATTAGTATATAAAAACCTTATCAATATCAAATAAATATTAACCATGAGTTGCATTAAGTATAAATTAATGCATACAAATGTTCAATGTTGTAAAGTATTTGAGTAGAAATGTTGTATAAAAGTATTCAAATACTTTTTTTGTATCAAATACTATTCTGTTTTCAATAAAAATATAACTGGCTTTTATGAATTATACAAAAAAAGTGCATAAATTACACATACATAGTAAATGATTACCTATCAAATATTGGTATCCATAACTGATATATTTTAGATTGTCAATAACATTGAATGTATAAGAACTTTATAAGTAGACACATACCCAAATTTATTTTTTTATTGTCATCATGAGTACACAAAAATATTGGCTGGAGTAATTAATTTTCTTATATAATTTATAATAGGTTTATTACAATAATAGTATTGTTTTATTTTAGTTATATTAATATTTAAACTATTTTTATTATATTAGTATTTAAATAACTATTCTAAGAGTATATATTTAATTAAATACTTTTAAAAAATATTCCTTACAAAATTAGTTTATGATGATAGTTAAAAACACACTATAAAATAAACATCAATTTAAATTAAATTTTTTCATTAAATTTTAATAAATTATTTTTAGGACATACTTAGGTGCCGTGTTTTAACTTCTGGTATATTTGAAACACGATTTCAAGTTGAAAAAGTTAATTTTCAGTAAGTATACAAATTAAATGTAATTAAGTGTTCCAAATAAATTAATATTTATTATACTTTTTTTTCAGTATGTTTGATGTGGGAGGCCAAAGAGATGAAAGGCGTAAATGGATACAGTGTTTTAATGATGTCACTGCCATCATATTTGTGACTGCTTGTAGTAGTTACAATATGGTCCTTAGGGAGGATCCCACTCAAAACCGACTTCGTGAGTCATTAGACTTGTTCAGAAGTATATGGAACAACAGGTATTTATTTTATTTTTATTTTATTATTATTAAACTTTATATTTTTACTATTTATTTTTTAAAGATGGTTGAGAACGATATCAGTGATATTGTTTCTGAATAAACAAGACTTATTAGCCGAAAAAATCAAGGCTGGTAAATCTCGGCTAGAAGATTATTTCGCAGAATTCACCCGTTACCAAACGCCAATGGATGCTACTCCAGATCCAGGAGAAGACCCTCCAGTTATTCGCGCCAAATATTTCATCCGAGATGAGTTCCTTGTATGTAATTTGTATCTATAATTTGTTTATTTTTATAGTAAAATAACAAGTATTATATTAGGTTTTTTATTATTGGTTTATAGCGCATTAGTACTGCCAGTGGCGAGGGTAAACATTACTGTTATCCACATTTCACCTGCGCTGTTGACACTGAGAACATCAGACGTGTGTTCAATGACTGTCGCGACATCATACAGAGGATGCACCTGCGCCAGTACGAGTTGCTATGATCTCTCCCTTACCCACTCACATATACATACACAGGTCTCTTCATTATTCTGCAGCAATTTTGAGTAAGTAATTATGTTTTAAGAAACCATTAATTTGGGTTCTTAAATATCATTTTTATTGAACATATTTTAAACATTCATAATTATTATTATTATTATTATTTATTAAGTACCAAATTTTATTAATTTAACAATATATTTATTATGTTTAATTACTATGATAAATAAATAAATTATATAGTTATAAATTATGATTTTTATAATAAATAATTACTGCTCTGTATAAATACTTATTCATAGTTTATATAGGAATTTTGATTTTTAAAATCATTATTCGTAGTAATATAAATTAATTTTCTCTTTGGTCAACAGATTTTTAATTCATTAATATTTTTTATCAGTATTAATTGTTCTGAGTTATAATTAATTTTATTTATTTTTAATGAAATCTTTAATATTTAAATACTCAAAATATTAATATCCTATGTATTTTATTTTTGTTTTTTTTTTTTTCATTTTTCTAAGTTAAACTATTCGCATCTTTAATTATATATAACATACCAAAGACTATTAGAAAATAAATTTATTATTGTTTTATTTGTTAATAAATATCTCGTTTGATTTATTATTCACATAAATTATAAATGTGTTTTTATTTAATTTTTGAATAAGAGCAAACATTTTTATGCACTAAATATGCTAAGAATCAAATGATTTTATTAAAAAAAAATCCATTTAAGTATTTTTTTATTGAATAATGAGATTTTTCACATTATTAAACAACAAAAATTAATTAAAAGTAACAATTTTTGAAAAAGAATAAAAATAATTAATTTTTATATTTATATAATTAATTAAAACAGGTTAAAATTATTTAATATTCAAAGTTCCTCCAAGAAGAGAATTCTTCATTTTTTGTGAAGTATTTTTTTTATTTTCATACACACTATTGTCATATTCATTTATTATAAAAAATTAAGAAATAAAAATTGAAAAATGATAAAACCATAATTGAATGTAAGAAAATTATATTGTCTATATAAACGTTAAAAATAACAATGTATGCAATTATACTATTAACATTTTTAAAACTAAAAATAACATAGATGTATATTTTAAAATAAAATTAATAATATTATGTACAAAATAATAACATGATTTTATGTTTTAAAATAATTTACTATCTATAAATTACTTACCATACATTTATTTTTTGTTGAAAATAATATATAATAATATTTAATATCAGAATATTCTTATACTTTCTATATTTTTTTAAGACTAGAAATTGGAGACCGAACATAAAAGGTCGCCTGCTTAAAATATGTCTCAAAAAAAAAGTACTTAGCCTATACTAAAGTCATTTTGGTTGCTACTTTAACCAGTATAGTATATAATAGAAAATATTAAATTTTAACGGCTTTTGAAAATATACTCTATATTATAAACTGTAAAGCTTGTAAAATTATGCATTCATACATTATGTTAAACATTTATCAATTTGTTATAACATAAAGATCTTAGTTAATATCCAATATATTGGAATTTAAAATATAATATAATAATATTATGATTAAAAAAATATATACTGTTAATTGTGTTATTACAGTGATAATAGATAGTTAAACTTAATTTTCTAAACATTTATAATACTATTTAAGTATAATCTACTTATGTACATATGCGAAACGTAATTATACAAGCATTAAATTTATAATTGTCAAAATATTGCATAGATTTTTCAAAAAATATCAACAATTCTTCTATATATTAGACAAATTAAAGTAGTGACTGATTTAGTTGTAGCGTTAAATTGTGTGACCTATCAAGATGTATTCAGTTTTTTAGTAAGCAAATTTTGATTTCCTTGTTCTAGTATTAGTGAATATATCATTTCAATTTAATTTTTAATAATAATGATAAACTTAGTTATTTTAAAATTTATCAAATCATCATACAAATAAATTGTCCAATTTTATTAAACTGACTTTTTTGTACTATTAGTATAATTTTTTTAGTTTACATGTTGAGTTTATATTTAATTTCATACTTGATATTACAAATTACTAAATCATTTAATTGTGATAATTTTTCTCTTAGTAATTAATAAAATTAGAGTTAAAAATAAATATGTATTTAAAAATGAATAACTTTTATATCAATAATTAAAACTACTATTATAAATAAAATAAAATAATAATTCAAATTATACAATAATTAATATTTACTTTTATAGGAGTATCATTTAATGTATATTTTAACAAGTAAATCATATAATATAACAAAAGCAATAATGTTGAATACTAAATTAATATTTCATAAATTCTTTTTATTTTTATGGTTAATTAATGTATTAATTGATTTAAAGATTAAAAACAATAAACAATATTATTTAAAATTATTTAAATTACATTTAATAATTTATAAGTATATATATTATAATTGAATATAGTGAATGGTTTTTAATTTAATATTTATATGATGTATACTGAAATTTCCCAAATATTGTATTAATAAAGTATAAATAACCTTGTTAAATTATTTAAAAAAAAAAAAAATTAATTTTAAATTGTCCCTACTAAAGGACTAAATATAGGACGTATTATTATGTTTCTTTTTTTTTTTCATATCTGAATTGTTAAACTAGTATTTTACCATCAATATTAGATATAATATTATAAATTTCAATTTTAATTGTTTGTTCCAATTTTATTCTACAATTTGATTTTTCCCTTTTTATCTAGTTCTTTCAAATTCGATTGAAAATTGGTTTTTAATAATGTGTAGTTAATAAAATTATTTAGTACTCTAACTTATCATAAATATAGAATGATACAATTCATAACATGTAAAATAGTTTTTGGAAATTAATTCATATTTTTTTTCTTAATTAGATTTTCAGAATCACAGGTTATCAAATCCAAAATCATTTCAACAAACCTAAACATTTCAGTAGTATGTAATTAAATTGATTCTTTGTGGTGAGCGTTCTTTTACAAGCAGCCAAATAAGGATTTTGCAAAAAGAATACATATCTAGATATTAGGACCTTTGAAGATGTATAGGTACCTATGTTTGCCTAGTCACAATTTTAGATAATTTATTAGTAGAAGTAGTTTAAAAAAATTAACAATTAAACTTAAATCCTATAAAAGTATTTAATTTTTAATTTAATATCTGTTTCATTATGTTGTTCAATGTCTAGTACAATGAATATTATAAAATATATTCACCAATAAATACATTTGTTTTTTTTTTTGCTTTTAAGATTGGTGATACATTTTTCTAACATATAGTAATATTATAGTATGTAAAATTACATTGTCAATGGTTATATTATTGTTAACTATTATTTACCAGATACAATAATGTCCTAACCTAATGATTATATAATTTATATTAAAATGGATACCTAGTTCAAGCCTGTTTACTACAGTTGAATGTCCAAATTCAATGATGTAAATAATTGTATGCATTAATATAACTTTTTTTTAACTATATAATATTTGCAACGTTCCATTACAAAAAAAAAAAAAAATCGCACAATTGAAAGTATATATTTATCGTCTAAATATATATAAATTAATTTTTAATATTACCGTTATGAATGTTATACCAGTAAATCCAATGGTAAAATTTCCAAATCTTATGTAATTACGTGTATAGACAAATATAACTAATTATTACATTATGTTTGTAACTTACTAGTTTCTTTAAATTATGTATTATTTGTTTCTTGTTATAAGTCATATTTTTAAGTTATTATATATTTTTTTGCTCTGGGATAATATATGCATTTTTAAAAGAACAATAATTTGTTTACATAACAAAATCATTATTAAAAGATGGAACATAAGTTTCCTATGCTTATAATCAATATTAATTGTGCAACATGAACATGCACCAATATTTTGTTTATATTTATTTCTTTTACTTTTAATTTTCATTTTGTTTGGTGCTGCTTGCTTATACTTCCTTCTTCTACCCATCCTCCATTATTATCAAATCTTGTTAAACTAAAAAAAAAACATGTACAATTATTAAATCTAGGTTTTGATTTTAATTTTTTATAAGTTAACCAGTGTTTTTTCTTCAGAGGGTGATATTAAATTAGGACTTTTTTAAAATTGTATTGATTTATATCATTATTATTATTATTATTATTATTTTTTTTTTTGTACATAGATTTAGTGTGAGGGTCTGCCAATATTTAACATCATCATGCGAGAGTCAGTTGAAACCATTATTGTAAAATTAGTTGTCCTTTTCATTATGTTATATTATGTGTGTATCTGTGTATATGTATATATATATATAAATAATATATATATATTATATAAAATACTAAGCATAATAGTAATATATAACCTAAAAAAAAAAATGTAATACATTATAATTAAATATTACTACTTTGTTGAGTTTTTTATACATAAAAAATATGTTTATTATACATACAATTATGTATTGCTTTTTGTTTATACCTATTGTCTTTATTATTTGTAACCTAGTTGAATTGTTTTTCTTTTTCTTTTTTTTATTAATGTGTTTATTTTATTGTTTCGATTACTTATTATTTAAATTAACTTTAGAAAAGAAGTTTTTAAAAAAACATTAGATTCTGGAGTTTAGAAAAAAATTTGTTAACTTTTTTTTTCTATTCTATGGTTTATTTTATTGTTGAAAATAATATTGTACTTTTTAATTGCGTATGAGTAATAACTTTGTACAAAAGAAAAATTAGCGCAATAAATAATATTACAATATATACATATTATATATAATATTTATAATATAATGTGTATATATAATATATTTATTTTATTATTGTTTTTTTTTCCATTGGTATTGAAATTGCTGTTTTAAATAGCTAATTGTAATTTTACCATTAAAATAATAATAATAATAATAAAAGAAAAAAAATTTACCTTCTATGTATCCTTGAATATTTTAATACTCAATTAATTAATTATTTTATTTTATATATAAAAAAAAAGAAGTGGTTGGGTATCTACTTATTCTGCAACCAGAGTTCATACCCCACATTACTGTCTATCAATAGTATTTAATACACAATTCCAAAACTTTTATAATTGATATATTTATGCATTTGATATCTTACATTTCAGTAAATCAGATATTTAAATTATTTTTCAGTATAATATGTTATTTCCTCTATGTGGTCACTACCATGATTAAACAATTAAATCAATTTAATGTTGGAATTTTATAAATGTCTACCAATACATAATTAGTAACAATTTTCTCAATTATTAATACATTTTGTTCTAATGATTATTTGACTATTAATCCAAATTAGAAATTGTTTTAATGTACAATTCTTCTGATTAACTTATTCCAATGTAGGATCAATAATATGAATGTTTGATGTAAGTGTATTTGGACAATTTTATTGTTATTTAAAAACAATAGTATTAATTTTAAAAGGAATTTTAGATCAAGGCTGGAGCCGCTGGAGGTGTTTCAAACTTTGATATTGGTATTAGTTTACTATTGATATTTACCAAAACACCATACCATTTTTGATATTTTTGTTGAATTTAGACTTGTTTCTAAATCTGGAAATTTCAATATCTATTTTAAAAATTATGATTGTAAATATTTGTTATTGTTTAAATAAGTCATAAATATACTGTAGGGAGTTTTTATATAATTAATAGAAGATTGTAGTTCTATAAAAAGTTCAAGTACTTATTTTAGATTTGAGGATCACAACTTTTTTACAGTTTTACTGAAAACACTTCCAAGTTCAAACCATAGAATATATGTTAATACTTTTTATATTATTTATATATTGCTTTAGTTTTATACTTTAGATACACTAGTAAGAACTAGCTACCTAGAGGTCTAGTAGAAAATAAGAGCACCCCATTCTAGTTTTTAAATTATATGATTATAGAAAAATGTCTTATTAATTAGCAATTATTTATTTAAAAACACATTCATATTTATAAATTTAAATTGGTTTCAATTAATGAAAAAAAACCAAAAAAGTTAATTTAATAATCATAATATAGGTATAGTTATTTCCAACAATGCACAGTACATAGTAAGACATACAGTTGTTCTGGAGATGAAAGTTTTTATTGTATAAGTAATAGGTATTATACATTAAAATTATCAGAGATATAAAACATCAATTAAAAAAATTAACCATATTATATAGATATTTATAAATAAGTTTACTTATTTTACTTACTAACACTTGCTATAATTAAAAAATAATTTAAGAGATTACAAAAGAAACTTTCTTTAGGTTAGGTATCCAAGTGAAATTATATAATTTTTAAACTCTTTAATAACTATAAATTCCTAGTTTAAATGTTTAATACAAAAACTAAAAAATACCTGGCCAAATACTATTATTGATTTATAGGTATAATTAATTTAATATACTTTATTTATTTTTTGTATCGATTATTTGAATTAGGTAAGATCAGTATTTAAGAAATATACAAGAGCATATAATTTTAAATTTTGTACTTAAATTTAAAAGTTCCTAAATATAACTAATAAAATCTATAGATCTTAAGAGGACGCCCCATCCACATGTGTTGTCTCCGTCTTGAATATATTCATGGTAAATTTTCGTTCAGCAGAATCTATTTTATATTGTTAGCTTTAACATTAGAGTAAATTTACCTATTATCAAACTTAATGGTAAGAATTTTTTCAAGTCAATGATGAAAGCTTTTATTAATATTATAATTTTAAAGTGAGTATTATGAGCATTTTAAAGTTTAAATATTTTATACAGCTATAACTCGGTTTAAAATTAAAATATTAATAAAAGCCTATGTGATTCCCTAGATAAAATTCTTAGCTTTAAGTTTGATAGATAATAAGTAAATTTACTGCAATGTTAAATCTAACAACATAAATGGATTTTTCTGAACGAAAATTTGCCATGTTGTATATAAGACGGAGATAACACATACAGGTGCGGCGTCCTCTTAACGACTAGGTACTTACCTATTCAATTATTTTTTATAATGCTGTCCTTTATAGAATAGGTAATATTAGGTAGTCAACTTTTAAATTATCATTCATCACAATATAAAAATCTTGAATTATAATTTTTTGTTCTAAGTAATAAATAATGTTTATAACTAAAAGTACTATTTTTAGTAGTTTTTTTTTAGATACCTACTGTTGAGCGCGTACTCTGGTTTCGCATTCAATTAGTAATTTGTTCGAACGGTTTTACTACGTGAATAAATATACAAATACATGTGTTAGTATCATCAATATTATTTAAATGTGTTACACATAGTTCTGATTTATTAAGACTATACTTACGTAAATGTTTAAGCATAATAAGTAATACGTTGTATAAATGTATAATTAAGTAGGTATATAATTTATTTATATGCTTTGGATTAAATTATATACCTACATGGGACTACTTGTAAGTTACTTTATTTGAATATTTTAGGTTTCGAATGGAACGATAAACGTACTTATTAATTTCATAAGATTTTACAATAATGTGCTTTTTTTTGTATTTACCTATACAGGATAAGTAATTGAAAATATTCTTCGATTTTGAACTTTGAAGGTACCTACCTAATTCGGATAATAAAATTGGTACTTCGGACTCTTCGGAGAGATCATTTAAAATTCTCACCAGGTAAAACGAAAAAAAATTAAGAAAAACTAAGAATTTTTACGTAAAACTAGTGTCTTTATAAAATTTATTTTATTTTATTTAGTATAACCAAATTTCTGTTACCATTTCATTTTGACATTGCACATGGTAAATGTCACTGTGTGTATAAAATATAATAATAAACTTTAAATATTACAAGTACCTACCAACAATTACAAAAATATAACTAATAGACATCGTTATTTTTCGTTTAAATATTAATAATTTCGTTCTAAATTGTTCTTACAATGTTTATAAATAAAAACTGTGTTTGTATATTTTTTTTAATTTGTGGTTTCTCATAAGTCATAATAAAAAACTTATTATGAGGAACCTTGTATTTAGTTTTCATGACGTATTTTAATACATTTTCAACTACTAAATAGTTTTAAAATGTTCATGGTTTTAAACTTTTAACAAATTTTGTTAAAACTATTGTATTTTAAACACATAAAAAAAATCGAGCTCTTGTCTTTTATATTTTTGAATAGCTAGTTATAAATGTTATAATAGTAGCTTATGTGATACCTACTCATTAAATTTTTAAGTTTTTGATTAAGCAAACATTTTTTTTTATCGACGTTATAAAAAAAATTTAAAACTGTAAATGTTTAAAAACTATAGATAGGTAGGTAACTAAATCTAAAATAACTCAAAAGTGACAAAAACAGGTAAGTAGATCTACACCTCAATGGTTCGATACGCCCAGGTGATAGGTCTGATAAACAAAAATTCTTCTCGGGACTTCAACGATGATTATCTATATTGTGTCTATATCTGTATTCGATACACCATTACACCAATATAGATAATATTATCTTAAATCGTGATACTATATCTATGTGTATTTATAAATAATAAATTTCTACATTTTTTGAGTGATTCGACCACTGTACGTTAATAATATACGTTATTAACTATCATTTACTTAAGTATCGCTTGCTTGTAAATAAACTTTTACTATACATTTATGATTTTCACTAAATTTATTACTGGAATCGTAGTATACGAGTGAACTAGGGTGTATTGCGATTCGATCAAAATCCCTCTACCTAGTGCCATTTAATTATATACGTCATACAAGGACAAACTACCGATCATCTTGGTCCATGCTCATCCAAAAACTGAAGATAACCACCATCAGCTGCGACTCTGGCTCCCATCATCTGGTTTCGCAGTCTCCTTGTTATCCATCATGTCAAATGACCTGAATCGACTTCGGCTGCTGGAAAGTGTATTCAATAGAGTGACAGAGTTTGCCCGGACTGTGCACAGCATACTGCCCACCATCAGAGAGTGTGTTGAACTGCATGATAGACTATTAGACTCTATCGGTCGTATTCTGTCTCTGTTGCGGCTCATACGTGACGGTCTTGTTGGACAAACATCCAGTTTAACAAATGGACGATCGAAGGGCTGACACATAAGTGATACTAGTCAATATGACTATTCCTAACAGCTCGATACCATTACCTAGGTACATTTTTTTTTTTCTGTAATGGACTTCATAGTATTATATGTTATCTTTATTTTTTAATTAGTTATTTCTGAAGTATCAACATTCTCCGAGTACAGTTTCTCCTTAAGTTTCTCTATCAGACAATATTGAAAAAAATTTGTGGATGCCTTATTGCTTTAAGATTATGAAAACTAATTTTGATTTAACCATTGTACATTGTTAAAATATGTATTACAGAATATTTTTCTATTAAAATGTCATTTATAGGGTTTATTAGGTACTATTATTTATGGTGTTAAATTTACAATCTCAAATCAAAAGCCACATATCTAGGAGTAGATTAAAATGTATATGGGAATATACAGCATATTTTTATTACAATATTTATAAAGAAATGTGTGTATGTGAAAAAAATATTAATAAGTGTACAGTGAATGGTAAGCAATGGGTTTATCATTTAAATATTTACATTTTTGCTAATAATTTGTTGCTTGAGATCTGATGGGTAAGCTGAATGAGTGATTTTCTACCACTGTAAGGAACATTTTTTATGAAACATTTTAGAAAAATATAACTGTATTCAAAAAATTTACCAATACATCCTTACGTACAATATTCAATCTAAAACCTTATACTTTCATTCAAATTTCTTTTTTAATTGCATGAAAAATTACAATCATATACTTTTATTTAATATGTTGTTTAAGTATGATTTCCTTCATTCCTTGTATGATTCTTGTGATAACAGTATCATTGTATAAATTACATGTACAAAATATAATTATGGATGCCCACAAATCTGTTTATATAACATTTTAGGACATTTTTATTTTTTAATATTGTTTATTTAAGGATTAAAAATAAAAATAATTATTGACACTCTTAAAATCTTTTTATAACAAATAAAATGTTGAATAGGTACTTTATTAGGTATTAAAAAAATGAATAAGTAATTGCAGTTATTTATACTTTATAAATATTTGATATATAGAATAAAAAAACAATAGAATTAAGAATTATCTAAAATTTGAATAAAATGAGCATTTTTTGGAAACATATAGTCAGTAAATCTAAATAATTTAGGACTTAAGATTGCCCTAATTATTTAAATTACAAGTCTAATGTATAATAAAATTAATTTTTGGATCATCTTTATTCTAAATCTTCATTTTGTAATTTTGTTAATATAATTTGTTCCTAACTTTCATATTAGTTGAATATTTGCTCATATTTTTTTTCTAAATTTTACAGTCAAACGATGCTGTTTTGTGGTATTTTAAAAAATGCAGTATACAGTTAAAAATTAATCTAATCGTTACTTTTACTGGGTCAAAAAAAAAAAAAAGAAATGGTTAATCTAGTGTGCTAAATAAATGAAGATGTTCCTACAGCTGACTTTAATCATCTCAAAGAAATAATAAGTTGTTTAAACATAGGTTGAAACATTTTCCCATTTTGGTAAAGGTACCTACAACAATTTTAATATATATTAATTTTATAAAAACAATTTTTTAATTTTTATAGTTTGATTCTTTAAATGAGATACCTAGTTTCTAAAAACTAATTTTTAAGTATTTTAAATTTGCAAACAATTTTAATAAGTACTGATGTTATTTTTTTACAGATGCAATATTAAAAACTTCTTAAATAATGCATGTCAAATGTGCAGTCAATATTGTCAGAAGTGGTTTACAGTTGTTATATTTTTTATAAACATTTTAATTTTAAGTACCTATTGTTAAAAAATAAAATGGAGACTGGTAATATTTAATTGGACAAATTAATTTATAGTTTACAGTATTATTATTTTTTTTTCTAAAGTTAAAATAACTGTTTATGTTTTAAGTCGTTAATTGATTATATAATAATATATATTTCATAATGTATTAAAGTTTGTTACAATTTAAAATATTTTAAAATTGTATATTTATTCTAATCTTTACATTTTAAAGGTTTAAATGGTCATAGTTTATTAATTTTATTTTTAAAGTTAAACAAATTTAGTCATTACTCATTACTATAGACCAAAAATAACTGTTTACTATATATGTATATTGTATAGTCTGTTGAGGACTATTCTTAGGGTCTTGGGGTTGTGGATGGGAAGCATGGCCCTGACACTAAGCTTCATACTTTTTATTTAGATTTAGACCTACTGTACAAAAAAAAAAAAAAAATAAGAAAATAGGTTTTGAAATTTTACTATTTCTTTGAAATGAAGTAGTGATATACATAAAATATTACAACTTATAATTAGATATTATGTGTCAAATATGGTAAGACATGATATTAGGATGAAATAATACTTTTAGAAAACCCTAGAGCTTTTGCTTTTCTTTTTTTTATACACTTCTTATAGTCATAATTTGCTATTTGAAGATATAGTCCATTCCAGTTGCTATAAATTTGTGCAATTTATTGAATATGTTTCTTTTCTGATTCTTACAAAAATGGACAATTCTTTTAAAATTTATTAATCTTAAATAAATTAATATAAATAAGTAAAAAATGAGTATTTTAAAGACATTTTTAAAAAGGAATTTATGATAAATTTTTTAATTATTTTCATATTGGCCTTGTAATTTTGAAGGTTAATCCTGTATTATAATACCTACTTTATTCCAAATAAATTTGACAAAAATGTTGCAAATCAGGATGAAAACGCGTTGTGGTTTACGCATGACAGTCACTGCAGCCAGTCGTTTGATAGTTGCGCAAATTTCACTGGACTTATTTTGAGTATAGACTATAGCATAATATTGTATTAATCATTGTCATTATTAAACAACTGATGATTAATTATTGCAAATCATAATTTATAATCTATAAATTATTATTTTTCAGTAGGTATAAATAAGGAAAAAAAAATTAAAATCACAAGTTATAATATTAAAAGGTTAACATCAATAACATCTAAAAAAAAAATAAATAACAATATTAGGTACATCATAATTTTATAGAAAATGAAAGTATTTGTATATTATTTTAAATAAAATTTCAATTAAGACATTATACATGTACAATAAAAATGTATTATAATATGAGTAGTCTAACACTTACACACTTATATAAGTGAGACATTTAATACATTAAAAACTGATACTTACACTAAATATATTATAGTTAATTTCTGTTTTTACATTTAAATGTTAAATTTTCCATTTGAGTTAATTTTTTTTTTGATTAAAATCTAAATATTGAAAAAATCAAATTAAATACTAGCATTAAATGCATTAAGCAGCAGTAGTTATTGATTGTGTATCGCTTGTTGTCGGAGGTTTTTCATTAATACCCAAGCATGGGACGCGTTTTGAAAGTTCTAATCTAAACGACAAATTCAAGATAATTTATTTAAAAAAAAAAAAAAAAAGAATTAAATAATTATTAAAAAATACATAAATGAAATGCTTAATTATAGGCAATATTGTAATTACTGAAAATTAACCAATTTAAAAAAATAATCTGTAATTTTTAATAGGTAATAGGTGTCAATTATTGTTGGTATTATAATTTTAGATTATGGTTTGTAGTCATGTTTCTAATTTTATAAATTTTTAATGATACAGCCAATACGTATGAAAAAATACCAATTGATGATGACCGCTGAAAGTTTTTAAATGGCGATTTGAAAATATTTTGTAACACAAAAATTCTTGCCAGTCCCTCTAATAGAATTTATGTTAAAGTATCCAAACGGCAAATGATAATATCAAACTTAATGAATTTCAATAACATTTAACAATGGCAGGATTATACAAAGACAGGATTTGAGCGAGGAGAGTATTCAATTCATTGACACTACTTAAATTTTTTTTTTAGAAATTATTTATTTATTTAGGAAGACGTGTTTGTGTTTATACACATGGGAGATCTGAGGTATTCACGATTACAACTTTTAGATAACCAAAATTATTATTTTTTAAACAATAAAAAAATTAGTTTTTTTTTAGTTATATAGTTCTGGTTGAAGTAGGTAAGTTGAGCGCTTGAATTAGGTTGACGATTGTTGAGATTATGCCAGCATATCACCAATGAATAGTCAAAATTATCAAGGGAATTAACTTCCTATATTGTATAAACTAAAACATCACGGTAAAAACAAACATTTATGATAATTTACTGGTAAGGGTAGAAGGGTGATTTAAAAATGTCGAGTGTTTATTAAACAATCAATAAGTTCGTTATATAAATTCTACAGTTCAAAGCTTAGTTGACGAGGGAGGGGTTGTGGATTAATAATTCACTGTTGAATTACATCTTACTCCAATCAATAAGAGTACACTACAATTTGATGATATAACTAAATAAATAATATAAAATGGTTAATAATTATTTAATTACTGTAAAATCAGTGGTTTTCATTATTCGCTTAAAAAATAAATAAAATAATAATAATAACATATACTAGTAATTTGTTATAAATTTGATAAAACTCATAACTATTAGATATATATTAATATATAAAATAATATTAATTATTATAATGCTTGTCAATATTATTATGATTTGTATTGATTTACCTGTATTTAGGATGACTGATAGCGTATACATAAGGGTCGAAACAAGCCACAGTCTTGGCAAACACCGCTGGTAGCATTGACGCGATAGGTGTTAGTAAAGATCTTAAAACAAAAAGTTGTTACTGATACAAATTTCAAGGAGAAACTGTAATGATTTGAGACACTTCTAGTTATGTAAAAAAAAAGACTTAATTTGAACTTTCTTGCTTTTTCAAAGGAAATGATCGAAGAAAACTTATACGCAAAGAAAAAATTGTTTAATTAGGTAGGTACCTATATATTTTTTTTTAATAATATTTATTTGTACCTAAAGATGAACCAAAATCATAAATTAAAACTAAACTTTGTTCTTTGGAAACCTTATAAAATGTATTTTTCAAACTATAGGAATTGGGCCCTTGTTATTTATATATAATTTTTTTTTATTTCTAACGAACTTAATACAGGTAATCCTGATGAAAAAAAAAAAACGAAAATATTAATATAAACGTTTCAGGGATATTAAAATGAATGGCCTATTTTATTTAAAAATAATAATTTTATCTATCATAGAACAAATTTTGTCAATGTAGTTTATCAGAAGTCCGATTTAAAATGTTTAGTATATTAGTGTATTAAATAAGTAGGTATAAAAATTCTTACTGATCTCCAAAAGCGCCAATCATAGCAACTACCGCGTATGGTGTCCAAGCAGCTACAAACAAGAAACAAATCGTAATTGCGGCTTTTGCAATTCTAACTTCCGCTGATTGAGCATTTGCATCTTGATTACTTCGCAAAGATTCAACATTCATCTTTTTAGCCTAAACAATGTATAAAAAAGGTGTTTTAAAATTAAATTAAATTTTTCAATAATAATAATAATAATCCAAATTAAATTGAGAACTCGTTCTGCTGTATACTAGGTGTCGAGTGTACTTCATCATGGATTTTAAACAGGAACGGTCTATTAGCCTATATAATTTATTAAGCATATTTTATTAAACATTTGTAATGCTATTATCAGAGTTGAAATTTATAGAATTTAAAATTGCATAAATATGCGCTTAAATATAGATAAATAATATGGGCTAAAAATATGCAATAAAAGTAATAACATATGTTAAATAAAATGGAAATTTTATAGAGTATACAATGCTTTCAATACTTGTTCGATAATAATCGGTAATCGCAGTCTATATCGATACAAAAAAAATCTTAACAAAATCAACAGATAACCAGTTTAATCACGTCGCATCAATGTATTCGTGTATTTGGTCCGTATAGGTACCTAATTAATCTGTAATCTATGTATTTAATTTGATTATTTTATTGACAATAATCTCAAGACATGTTTACTGAAATATAATTTCATAAAATATGACCAATTTTGATTAAAAAATAGGTAAAAATGTAAAACGTCTTAAAATGTCTAAAAATATTGCAAAATATGCAAAAATATGCAAAATTAAATGTTTAATTTAAATTCTCTGTATTATAAAACACATTTTTAGCTTACTCTGCTATTTTTTAAGCATCTCATACAAAATATGCAAATTTTATAAAATTCTAATCATGGCTATTATGGTTCCTAATACAGTAGGTTGAATATATTTTTACTGAAGATAGAGGATCTATGTTTTATCGTTAAATTAATTACTATAGAAGTATATATTTGTATAATAAATTATTATTGTTATTCACTTCTGAGCCAATTCCGACTAATTATAAAAGGGTGTGAATAGGTTCATGGTATAAATAGGTATTACCTTAAAATTAATTTGTTTGTTGAAAATTTCATGTTATGTTAAGTAAAACATTTTATATTACAGGTACATAAGTTTGAAGACTCCACAAATATGCTTGATTTTCGACAAAAATAACTAAACATTTTTATTTTTCGTTTAATTACTAAACTTCAAATGCTTTTAAGAAAAATTCCACCCATGTATTTACGATATTTTTAATTTTCTGTAAGAAAAATATATGTTGCAGGATCGTATATTAAATTTAAAAGTTTTTTGAATGAATCAAAAAATGTCAAAAGCCTTTAAATAGTTTATAATTAATCTAAATATTTGAAAACCTTATTTGTACTTAATGGAAAATTATAATTTGAGTGATAGCAGTACCATGTTTTAAATAAAATAACGAAAACCGTTATACGTTAGAATATCTGAAGTTGTTAACATTTTAACTTCAATCGGCCATAAAAATTTATAGGACAAAACTTTATTTTTAAAGTTTCTGATGTAATAAAATGTATAAGGAATCATGTAATACATTTTTAAATTTTAGGTAATAAAATTAAAAATTGTATGAATGTTTTTTTGATGTTTATGAAACAATTTGCATATTTTTATGATATTAATGAATTTTGTAAAACTTAAACATTTTATATATTTATAAAAAAAAAAAAATGTGATTATGTTTTTCAGATTTTTTTTGTGGTATATAAACAATTGAGGAAATCTATTAAATCTAAAAATTTGAAATATATTTATATATATTAGATTTAAATTTGGACTTGAATTACTTGTTCACGAAGTGCTTTTTCATGGTTGAACACATGGCAGACTATTTGTGAATAAAAGTATATTATAAAAGACATCGGGATTACGTAACAAATCACAAACATGGTTCCAACAAAAGCTTTAGTCTCCTCGGTAGGCGTTAAGTAGTCAAAAGAACAACTTGTCAAAAAACCCTCTGAAAAAATAAATTATTATTACATAATTTACTAACTTCAAATAAAGAATAAATTAAAAAAATTAATTAATTATTAGTATACGTTATGTCGTTATAATAGGTATCTCTACAATTGTTTATATTGTCATACATACTTAATTTAAGTACATCAATAGTTTTTATAGATATGTAAAAGTAATTGTTTGTTTGTAAGTATTAATTAATGATAGATTTATTAAATAGTTAAAATAAATAAATACATAAATTTAAAAATACTAGGTTATGCCAGATATTAGAAAATATTATATTTTATTATTACTCCTATTAATAATATTTTCAGTTATTACACTTTTTGTTAATTAAAAAAAGTATTTTGGATATGATATTTAGTATAGTTAGTATTGTGACTTTATCTTAATTAAACATAAGTTTTGTACAAAGAGAGAGGATCTGTGAAAAAAAATCTAACCTATGTATATAAACAGTGTTTCACGGTGAACAGACAATTGAAATAACTTTTGGTCTATTAAACATTTTTAATTTTTTTTTTTAAATTTTGTATGTAAAATTAAGAAATTAATTCATTTTTTGCTTGATACTTAAAAAAAATCAAAATAACCTTTTTGTTGATATAATTTTTAAACATGTTTAAAAAAAAAAAAAGAAGAAAAATGTTCCAGCCGCTTATTTTCTACGATTTTTGAAGTTTGCACAATTTTATAATATTTCAAATAGATTTTCTAGATTACGATAATCGCTGTAACACTGATAAACAAGAAGTAAATTTAAATTTAAGCAAAATTTAAAAATTGTTTAAAAATTATTGAGTCAACCTCAGTAAAAGTTTTTAATACTAAAATTTTTCTAAAAATTGGATTTACAAAATGGTTATCTTGATTTTTTTAAATATCAAACAGAAAATTTTTTAATTTTTTAATTTTGCATACAAAATGTTAAAAATATTTTAAATATAGCGCAGACCACAATCGATAATTAAAAAAAAAGTTGAAAATGATGAATAGAACAAAAGTTATTGCAATTGTCAATTCATCGTGAAACACCATGTATATGTATAAAAATTACCATTTTAAGACATTTATAATGCTCTAAAAAAAGGTCATCAGCAGAGTTCGAATTTAAACGATATAAAAGCAATATGTATACGACAATATTATCATTATATGTACAAAACAGTTGGTAGATCAAAAACAAAGTTAAATATTGTAACTGTAACTATTTATTGTGCCATAATTATTTAGAATACTATTTATTTGAATTTGTTTGATAACGTCCAGAATTTATTAGTCCATTTTATAGGATTTATTCAAATGTTTATATCATGGAGCTGTATAAAAAGTTCTTCAGTTTTTCTGGGAGCCAAAAATTGTAGTTGTAATATTTTTATGCTATTCATAAGAACGTTATTGCTTGAATTTAGTTGTTAGGTTTCAAATAATTTTGACTTTCTTACAGAACATGTTATCAAAAATAAAAAAACTTAATTAACTATACTCACTTATAATTATTTTCATATAGGTTCTATAAAAAACTAAATTTAATCTGAATTCCGAGTAGGTAATAATTGTTATTTGTAACATTTATTTGAAAAAATACTTTATTTTTATATATTTTTGTTAACTTACCTGGTACAAATCGATTCCACTTTTCAGTTAAAGGAAATAAGCACCACGGTAAAACATAAGTCCAAATACATATGATCAATATTAATGCTTTGCCATAAGTCATACGACCTTCAAATGGTTTTGCAATTGTACTGAAAAATAATGATTCAATGTAAATATATTTGCAATCACTTATGAAAACGTTATAGGTATGTATATTATATTGCATATATATATTACAGACATTATAAAATAATGTATTTTACAAAAAGTATTATACAAAAATTATTTTTTTTTGTATTTGTAGTTCAAATTGCTTGGGCAATGTATAGATTATTCGGTATTCCATACTGTCTATAACATAAACATAATTAAATCATAATATAACGGCATACCTATTTATATAGTGTAAATTTATAAATTTAAGGATTTCTTGAAAATCCATAACTGGTGCAGTTGTTTACAAATTTACATTTTAGATATCATAGAACTTACGTGTACTAATAACCTTATGAAATCTTCATTTCTAATATAGTGCTACTTATAAGTTATAATATTATATACTATATAAGTAGATAAAACAAAAATAACAGTTAAAGTTGTTATATGTATTGTATAGTTGGACAGTTGGTGTCGAGTGTACTTCTTAATTGAGTAGAATAAATCACTGTTCACGATGAAAATAAATTTTCAGCGAAGACAATCTGTCAGCCGATAGAAATTTATATTTTGCAAAAAACAGATGGCATATACTTATTATATAATTACTAACACACTATTATTTAATAGGTATGTTGAAAGTTGTTAGTCAATCACAACGTTCCATAGAACGGTGTAAATGCAAGGCCGTGGTATATATAGTCTTAAAATTAATCAAAATATTCTAAAAAGTCATTGTGTATGCTAAATAATAACGAGAAGTTTTTTTTGATTTTGAGTAATACAACTAAAATCCGTATTTTTTGGTTTAAATATCTAATTTTGTAAAAATTTGATCTTTAATATCTGTAAAAATATGTTGGTATTAGTATGTTTTATTAGGATTTTTATGGTTTTTTTTTATAAAGTTTATAAGGAAAATTATATTAAATTGCCTAGCTTTTGTTATTAATATTTAGAATATTTTTACATTTTTAACTATAAAATAATTTACATATTTTCGTAATTTTAATAAATTTGTAATCAATAAACTTTAAACCGCTTATAAAAAAAAAATTGTGACTCGTAAGGAGATATTTTAAGGAACTTTGTACTCAATTGTCAAGCTTTCTTTATTCACAAACAAAATTTTCATTAAAAAAAAAAATCAAAAAAAAATCTGAAAATATCTATAAATAGCAAAGAAGTATAAAAAAAACCCTTGAAAATTATATCGAGTCTAGATATTGCTTATGTCAATATTTAGTGAAAATTTAAGTGTTTATAATTATTCATTTTTGAATGCCATTAAAAAAAATCTAAATATATTTTGTCAAAAAATTAGTTTTCCGTAAAAATTACCGTTTTTCTCTATTTTTGTTGTTTTTCTTTAGTTATTTAAAAAATTAGTGAGAAATTTTTTTTCTTTGACTCCTCTTTCTCACTGAAATATTTACTAGATCCAAAAATTCAAGTATCTCTTAGAAACCACGTTCGAAGTTTAAGACTAAGGCATTTTTACATTTTTTAATTATTATGATATCAGACAAAAAAAGTAAAGGTACATAATTATTGTAAAACTAATATCAGTCCGCTCAGTCCGCTCAGAATCTAAAATTGAAAAACTCTGTCTTTGCTTTACACATACTTAATATAATTAAAGATTAGTAACATAATTATTACAACTTACTTTTGTTTGGAATTTTTTATTTTTTATCTAATTTTGTATTATTATCCAGTGCCTATCATTAGTGATATACTTATATATATATTAAATAAATAAACTTTCCTTGATAGGTGTTGTAGTTAACATAACTTCCCTAATCCTAACATAACTCAGCTTAATTGTTTTATCTAACTTTTTTTTTACTGTATAAATCTAAAAATCCAGTTTATTAAATTAATAATAGTTATAATACAATGAATTAAATGTTTATACCTATATCTGTCATAAGCAATCGCAGCGTTTGTGGCTCCTGCTCCAATGCCACTGATAGATCCGCACAATGCAAATATCTGACATTGTAAATGGCCTGGATATTTATGATCTATTGAATCATAGATGAGGATTGGTAGTACTAATACCATGGAAAAATCACAGAGCGCCAAATTGAGGACAAACAAATTGGAAGGTGTTCGTAATGGTTTTGATCTAAAATAAAAATACCTCTATTTTATTACACGATTACACGAAAAATATTAAAAATTATAGTCTATATTTCTATAATCAATTAAAAAAAAATTTTAATCTAAAAATTATGACCTATGTTATTCAGTTATTGCTTGTTCTGTAAATGCTTAGAACATAAACAGGCAATACGATTAGAAATTATTGTTTATTATGTACAATATATTATACATTGTATGAGTTATTATATATATACACTATATATTATTAGAAATGTTCAAAGAATATATTTTTCGACACATCTATTAAAACTATTGAATTTAAATACTACAGATAAATATTTTTCTATTTTTTTTTTTTTTTTTGAAAATAACTAATGACATTATACGATTACATCAATGATTATAATTCATAATGTTTAATAATGACTATTTTATTAGAGTGACGTTTAAGTCATATACAATATAGTATAATATTATGATCTAATGGATGACGTTATTACGAGTACCATACGGTTACACTAGAAGACTAAAATATGATAATCAAATATTTAGTATGTCTTTTAATATATATTATAATGGGTTAGAAAAGACCAAAATCATAACCAATAATAAATCAAATAAATTTGTTATAAATATTTGATATTTTTTTGTTTTTAATACTCCTAAAATAAAATAGTAAAATAATTAATGTACAATTTCCAAAATATCTTAAATATTAATCTGAACACATTTATTAATGAAAATGATTGTTATTTAAAAAAAAAATCATTTAAATGTGTTTCTTTATTATCTGTATATTTTCAATAAATCAAAAGGTATTTTACTTACATTAAAGTCAGTACATTTAAAATTTAAACAAGTAGTTAAATAAACATTACTAAATAATATTTTAAAATTATGTTACATATAATAGTGAACTTTAACTATAATTATATTAATATTAATATTAATTTTAATCTTTAATAATTAATTTTACTATATTTTAAAAATATGTTGATTTTTAATTCCATATTTTATATTATTATTATACTTACGTATTATGTTCAATCGAGTATATTATATGGATCTACATGTTATTAATATAATACTTATACTTACACACAAAATATCCATAACACCAGACCATTTCCAATTACACCAAGACAAAATAAAATTGTATAAGCGAATGCCAAAATATAATGGTAGAGCGCTCTAACTTCTGGGTACGACAACCAATGTTCTGGTATATGAGTAAGATCTTCAGGAGTAAGATTCCAACCCATTAATTGAAGTTCATCTTCATTTTCCATGAAACTAGAACTAATCAAAAGTCAAAACATTCCTAGTATTATAAACTTTATAAAATATCGTGTTTTTGCATTAAAACTATGATATTTAATAATTTTGTATCGTACCCTAGTTGTGACAAAGGTCTCAATACACTTCGGTTGAAATCCATTATTAACGTTTGTTAGTGTTAGTCTAAAACACTAGTCACTACTACGACTGAAACAAACGCAATTATTAAGCCGATCTGGGTTTATATAAATAATATGCATCACAGGGACAACATGGATTATATAATTGTAGCCTATCAACTGATAATCCTCACTAACTTACAAGGGATGTTGTTATTATTTTTTAAATTTATCCTCGTCAACATACAACTTTATTCTGTTATTTACACAATGATTAAATTATAATACGTTTTATAATTAGATTCAAAATGTGTTTAAGTTTGTATAATCAAAGTAAAAAATATATTTACATGACTTAATGATTTGTGTATAAAAAATTCACGTCGTTCAAACTTGGAAAAATATATTTTATCTAAATATCTAGTAGTAGTATTATAAAGTATGATTATTCAAATTAATTTATTGGCAAAAGTTAAAATAGTAGAAAATTACATTATTTGAACTTTAAAAAGTAATTTATTTTAAATTCTCAGTTAATATATTGGATTTACATTGATGTTTTATGTCTTTTTTTGGATAGTGAAAGTGATCTGAACATTTTTATATTGCTGTATTTATTAATGGGAAATTTCAGTTGATAGGTACCTAGTTAAAAAATACATATATATATATTTATTAAAAATTATACTAAAAAAATATTACTGATAACTATAAAACATTTTAAAGAGATATAAATGTTATTTTATCAAAAATGCATGACATTTAGAGTTTAGGTTTGTGGACAGAAATATTTTGTACTAATTGTACTATTAAAAATGCATGATATATTTTCGGCGAATCCTGGAGTATAATAAAATAAAAAAAAGGCAATTTAAACCAAGACCGGATTAATGGGTTGTGAGAGAGCATGGTTCTTAGGTCTATCTATTTCTACAAAATATTTTTTAATGGTCTCGAAAGAAATTTCAAAAAATAAAATAAAATATGTTTATACTACAAGAAATTATACTAAATGATAAATAATACTTAATAAAACGAGTGCAAATGGAAGTAATGAACAATGTAGTTTAATGTGATGTGTGTATACTAGTTTATCTTATAATTATTTGATTATATAGTAAAACCTCAATTATCTGTCACTCTCTCATAGTCTCATCCATCAACTTCTGTTTATGTCACCCTGTACCCGCTGTCAAAATGGCACCGTGAATTCTAATTAGAATATTGCACGTTTATGTTATGGGTATACCGTGTAATTAAATTTATTGATTGATATGAGAAACAAGAAGAAGCCGATTTGAAGCATAAAGCTATTAAGAAAAATAAAAACTTATCTTTGAAGAAAGTCCTGGATTCAAATAAACAAACTAAAATGACTAATTTTTTCAAATAATTATATTTTATTATCATGCTGCTCAATAATGCGTAAATATAATATTTAAATTAATATAAGATAATCATAAATATAAACATTTTTTTTTCTTTTATCCATCACTCTCTTATAGTCCCGTTATAGACGGTTAATCGAGGTTTTACACTACATAACATGTTATTTGTTATTGATGTATTATATCGATTAATGTACATATTATTAATATTATTAACATATAATTGAATTTGTAATTATAATATTAGATTTTTTGATAAAGTCAAGATATGTAACAATTAGTGTCTAATGCTTGAAAAAGAGTTTGTTACTGCCGCGTGGTTGTACCGTAAAAAGTAGTAATCAAAAATAGAGTGGAGAGTAAAGGGTTGAAGTTTGATAGTTGACAGGAGCCTACTAAGTGTTTGGTATTCTGGGACTCAACGGATCTATAATTCGGGTTTGATTTTAATAGGAGTAGGTAAGTATTATAAGTAGATACTAATATATCATCTGTTTTTTAGTTTCAATCCATAAACTCACAATATTATTCGGTCACCTAAAAATTATATCATTGTAAAACCATTAACTTTCTAGATCCGCTAAAAATGCTCTTTGAGTGATATTTTATATAAACTAAAAAGTTAAAAAAAAAAAAAACATTGAATGTATAGTGAAAGTGCTAAGGTTGCAAAAATAAATGCAAGATATGCCATGTATTAACATGTTAGTGTAATAATTCTCCAACATTAATTCGATGTTAGATATTGTAAGTCTTCGTGATACAACAGATTTAAAAATAGCTATGTAATCATGGCATGCTTTTGGTAAGAGGGAGTGTGGTAGTATGTATATATAATACAAACACTGACAATAATTATTCATTATTAAACTCAAACGTATCAGTGTATTATATTTAAATTTACTTCATTTTAATATCATACTGTAGTTTTTAGTTTATAAAATGGTATATTTTATTTGTATTATCCACGGATTGGATAGAATATTATAAGGTAAGATATAAATATAAATATAATATATTTACGTATGTTTTTAACTACTATATTCTGTATAGTAAAAGTTTAGTGGTGCTCGACGAACGGCCTACACACTATATGTAGCCCATGTAGGTATTTTATGTAGTCAGTCTCAATTTTTTAAAAAAAAAAAACCTTTCAAAAAAAAAAAGCAAAATACAATAATTGTTTTATTAATTTTTTTAAGATTTTATGTATTCCAAAAATACAATAATAATAATAATAATAATAATAGTAATAAAATAAAAAAATAAAAATGTTTTAAACTTATTTTTAATATGAAATTTGAGCTTGTGTTTTATTTACTAACAATAAAAAATATAGTTGGAATTCAGTAGTTTCAATATTTAAAATTGAATGAAAGTGTTTTATTGAAAATACGTAATAGATTAGGAACCTTTTAAATAGATAGACAATTTTTCTTAATATTTTAATTCACATGTCATTTGATAAAAAATTTTTTTAAACCGAAACAAAAGTAATTTATTAATCAGTTTTTACTAATAATTCGGTATTCATTATTATATTTGAGATTTTTGTTGTTAAACATTTTCAAATGGAAATTTTACGATTTAATATCGATATCACCCATGTATTTAAAAGAACGTATTGATCAAACTAATTTTACTAATTTGAATTTAAATTCGTTATTTTCCAATAGATAATAAAAGATTAAAAGAAAAACAAATCTTATATGTACCTACGTCATGTTTATTGTATAGTATTTACTATTTTTTTTTATAGTGTATTTAATAGTGTATTTATTGTGTATAGCAAAAATTATATTATTAGATTAAAATTGAGATTGAGATTATTCGTATTTTTATATTTGATGGCACGTTCAAAGATGATTGTTTACAATCATGACAGCTGAGGAAAAAAAGGTTGGAAATCATAATGTATGTATTATATACAATAGTCAATCGACTGTTCTGATCAATTAGAAATGTTAAAAGAATTTTTTGAAATAGTTTGATATTTTATTTAAAAGCATAAATATTATTATACGAAATTTGTTTATATACGGTGTTTACTTTGGAAAACCAAAACATATGTTTGATTTTTAAGTATGTATATGTATTACTAAGGAGTTTTTCGCTAAGGAGTTAAGGTATCACAACGCCCCCACTCCTTTCAAAATGTTTATCTTATGAAATTTATTTCTACAAAATGCACCTCTCCACAAGTATGAATCTATTAATAATAAGTATTATAGTGAGTTCTATCTAATGGAATCACTGGTTTATTGGGATAAAAAAGAAAAAACCTGAATCAAATTTTATGTTACTAAAAAGTTAAATTGATTTATTGTTAGAATCACTAAGAATCGAATGCAAACGAATCGTCAGGATTTTTTTTTTTTAAGAGGTACGTAGTCTAAATAATACATAAATATATGTAGGAATAATTTTTCAAATTACATGAAAATACAAGTAATAAATAAATTTTTTTGTTTGAAAAATCCTTTTGCATTTACAAATTCATTGAAAATGCAACTGTGGGATTTAGAAAAAAAACCTTAACGTTTACAATTGGTCTTTAAAAAATAAGTTATTCGTTGGTAATCATGAAAAATAAAATATTATTTTCATTACCATTCAATTTTTTTAAATGTTTTTTCTTTTTTTGCACCCTCTTGCATCCCCCTCGAGGCCCCTATGAATGAATAATTGAATTAGAATTATAAATGATTTTATTATCAATTTTCTGGCTATTCGAACTGATTTAAGTCATAAAAACAAATTTTATTTTTGAACTTATTAGTGTATCATAATTCATAATAAGTCGTATAGTTAACGTTAAGTTATTGTTAAACGTTACGTCGTTCAATTTGTTTTAATTCGTGTTCATACATTTTTCTTAAATGTCAGAAAAACGAAGATTTATCAATTAAAGAAAAAAAATTATACGTTTAGAAGTTAAAAACGTTCACAAATATAAACCGTATCAAGTCTAAAAGTTTCCCAGATTTATATTTATATTCTTTCCTTATTTTAAATCTAATTTTATTTTTATTTTTAGTACCTGTGTGTATTATTGGATAAAGATAAAAATGTTTTATGGAATCAATCAGTTGACTTATGTCTTATACCAATATAATTACATTAAACGAAACTCATAACAGTCATAACAAATAATTTATGAAAAATAAATAATTATTAGCACAACTCCTTCTAAAAAAAATCATTATTGAATTATTTGGTACATTAAACTTATTTTCAAAGAATTTTTAACCATTTGTGAAATAAAAAAAAAATTAAAAAATTGAAGTACCTATATGTTTATGTCGTTTATTTCTAGGTATTAGTTTATAAAAAACCCAAACTGAACATTCTATAAACAATAAACCATAAGTTATTTAATTCAAAATTCAAAAATTTTAAATTAAATATTAATTTTTTAAATAAACGAGTGTATTAACATCCACGCTATACTACTACCTACAGATAACATAGCAAATTTAATTTACTCCGTCATTTTTAATATAACATTAAGTTAATGCATATTAATAAAGTGGAAATATTATCCAAGACTTCAAGTTTAAATCTTTATTCGATATTTTTGATACAAGTTACAACCGTTTTAAAATTTTCATAATTTGCTTCAAAATTAAAATTTCAAAAAAAGCCTGTATGAAAAATATTTTACAGGATATTACATTTGGAATATTATCTTTAAATTTAAT